GTAGAACAATAGATTCTAGAGAGTCATCTGAGGGAGGAACTCTAACCCCAGTTTGCTGTGTGACCAAGATTAACTCGCTTGATTACCCAGAGTCCCAGTTTATTTATCTATAAAATGGCAAGAGGAGTTGTTGGTCTTTAAGATAGTCTTTTCTAGCCTTAATCAATGAATGCAAATTTAAGTTAATTGCCTAAATTCTAGGTTTTTGGTTTTTTTTTTAATTGGAACACTGTATCTGGAGGAAACGTGGTTTAAGAAATCAAGCTTCAAAAGCAATGCATCTTAAGATTAAGTAACATATAATACATTTTTATGGTGAATTTCAGATAATATGGAAGTACATGAAAAACAAAAATTGCTTTTTACTCCAGTCTTTCTAATCTCACTTTCTTAGAAACAATGCAATCACTGATTTGATGTATACCCTCCTAGACTTTTTTCCTGTATGTACATTATTTACATATTTAAATAGTTTGCTTTTTTTTTTTTTTAAGAAGTATGTTGGTGCATGTATGTATTTTAATACATTATTCAGTATGTATTGTTTTGCAGTTTGGTTACTTAAGTTGTCTTGTAGAGCTCTCAATTTTTAGTTTATATACCTACCTCATTGTTTTTAACTTTCTATGATGTGAATGTATCATAGCTTACTAACCACATCCATGGACTTTAGGTCATTTCCAGTTTTGTGGCAGTAGTAAACAGTGTAGTAAAGAACATCACTATACAAGATAGAAACTTACTGAACCCTCACTGTATGGCACTACTGTGTATTATCTTATCTAACACCCTCAAGCCTAAGATAAGTACTAATTAGCATGAAGAAATTACGCATGAGGAGATCAGTCCCAGAGCTGCCAAGTAGCAAACAGATTTACTGAAGCCTTTTAACCCCAGAGTTCTTGCATTATTCTTCCATAGCTTTTGTTGGATTCCCAAAGAGATTCTTGCTCCTGAAAAGGTGAAGAGCCAAGATTTTAGATAGGAAGGGTATAGAATTTTAGAGTTATAAGGAACTGTGGGGATCAGCTGCTCTGTTGCTTTGTGTCTCCACTGCTGCTGACCCTGTAATAGATCATCAGAGGGGGAAAGTTGAGAGTGCAAGAAGGAGCATCGTGATAATGTTTATGCTAATATAGTGGACATACTTGTCTTGGACAAACTGAGACACAGACACCTTAGCCCTATCCTAGGCCACCATTACCTTTCACGTGGGTTACTACAGTAGCCTCCTGCCTGGTCTTATATTCTTATTCTTTTTTGGCCCATTCTAACACAGAAACGAAAATTACTTTTTCAAAACAAAAACCTGATTATGTCACTCAGTAGTTTAAACTCCTTTAGTACTTTGTGGGGAAAAAAAAAAAGTTTTTTGGTCCTCCTGTGATTATTAAAGAATGCAGCATGAAATAGAGTAAAGGGCACTTAAATTGTAAGTCAAGAGTCCTGTGTTTGAGTCTCAGGTATCAGTACTGATTTGGTGACCTTGGGCAAGAAGCTATTTAACTTCTCAAGCTATTTCCTCAAATATAAAATATAGATAGTGTGAGGAGGGGGATATGGTAATAAGTATGAAAGGTACAGTATAAATGCAGGACATTGTTAATAGTTAACCTTGTATTTATTTTGCCCTTTGAAAAATTGTCTTTGTGTCTTACCACAGTATCTAGCAGGTTGTGGTAGGATTTTTATAAGCTGAACTACCTTTCATGTAACTATCCAAGTTTCATAATAAAAACCTCAGTCATGGAGCACCTGGGTGGCTTAGTTGGTTAAGCATCTGGCTCTTGGTTTCAGCTCAGCTCATTATCTCTGGGTCACAAGATTGAGCTTCGCATTAGCTCCACACTCAGCAGGAAGTCTGCTTCCCCTCTCCTTCTGCCCCCTCCACCTTTCCCCTGCTTGCTTGCTCTCTCTCTCTCTCTCTCTCTCTCTCTCTGAAATAAATAAATCTTCTGAAAAAATTTAAAAAGTAGGTTAGGAAAGTTAAGTGACTTGACCAAAGTAAAAACAGTTACCATGCCAGTAGTAAAATGCAGGGCTATAACCTTGGCATTATAGTCTGATAATCTTTCCACTAGGCTCTGTTACCTTCCCAAAGTAATTAAGAAGATCATGTGTTTATAAAAATCACATATTTTATCTGTGATTGTAATTTATTTTTTAAAGATTTTATTTATTTGAGATAGAGTGAGAGAGAGCGAGCACACGCAAGGTGGGGGACAAAGGGAAAGGGAGAAGCAGACTCCCTGCCAAGCAGAGAGCCTAATGTGGACCTCGGTCCCATTATCCCAAGATCATGACCCCTGCAGAAGGCAGACTTCCATCTGGCTAAGCCACTCAGACTCCCTTCTGACTGTAATTTAAATATACAACTCATCCTTCAGAAATTGAGAATAGTGTAGAATGACATGCCCATATAATTTACTGACTTCATCAGGACTTTTGGGTTATAAGAAATGGTTTGCAAAAAGGTTATGTAATTAGCTAGGAGGAATATTATTAGAGCATCTCTGAGAATTGAAGGTCCAGGACTTACAGAGATTAGAACTGGATCTCAGGGCAGTCAGAACTCTATCACTAATGGCTCTAGGTCTTTGTCCTTATAGTTAGCAAACCATGAAGAGAGGTGGGCCACAATTTCCTTTTTGGGAAACTTGGGGAGGATTCCATTTGACCTACCTCATATCTCACAACCACTCCTGTAGGTAGTTATTAGATTAAACCATATGAAATTGCTGATAGTCATATTTTTTTACCAACTAAAGCCATTTTGTATGGTTCAACCTATTAATAGTGTAGAGTGGTAGAGGGGATAACAAGTCATCATTGATGGCCCTAATAGGACTTAAGAAAATGGTGGAGTTCCACAAAAAGAGAAGAGCTGCTGTTCTTCCCACTAGAAGGAAGAAAATACGAAAGCATTCTGGGCAGACAAAAATAATAGTGACATAAGAATGCCTGGGTGGCTCGGTTGGTTAAGCGTCTGACTCGGTTTTGGCTCAGGTCATGAGCTCAGGGTCATGAGATTGAGCTCCGTGTCAGGTTCAACACTCAGCATGGAGTCAGCTTGGGATTCTTCTTCTCTCTTTGCTCCTCCCACCCCTGCGCCCTTCCCTCTACTCTCCTCCTCCCCAAATAAGTAAGTCTTAAAAAAGTAATAATAGTGACATAATACAACACAGCTTACAAAGAGTGTGGTTCAGCTAGACTTTAGCTGGGCCACTATGGAAACAAAAAAGACCTCAAATATTAAAATTTCTAAAGTTCAAAATGGAATTGTTCTTACTTAAGCAACAGAGACTTTGACAGAACGGTCTTTTATGTAAAAAATGCACCCAAAGCTCTCAAATTATAACTTTTTTTTTTTTTTTTAGGAATTTATCAAGTAATCAACTTTATTATAATGTACAAATTTACTTGAAACAGAAGTGTTAAAACTTCCAGCAGCAATTTTGCATTTGTCCACTTCTTTCAAATCATAACTTTTGTACTCTTCTGTTGTATCTTAATGTTTATTAGATGTCAGATGTGTCCTAGGCACCTACATCGTAACCTGTTTAAAGATGAAGAAATTGAAGTTCAGAGAAGTAAAATAATTTGCCTAAGATTATACAACTAGTTGTTAAAGTCTAAATTGAAGATAATTTTTCTTCTATATCAATACTTCTCAAAAGATTGTCATGAAACAATTCTAAAGGCAGAAGAGAGTACATATGTACGCCTGAGAGATTTGTAGGCATATATGATCTTAAATGTGAATATTGTTTACTGATCCATAATAAATGGTGATAGCTTTGTTTTTTAAATGCTGAAGGTTTTTTTTTTTCTTTTAATTCTTAGTTAAGTTGTCTTTTTAAGAAGATGGATAGCACATTATCTCAATATGAGAAAAATGGCACACTGTGTCTTATTGTGTGAATGCCTGATCCAGTTTATGTCACTCTGGTCCAGACCATTCTTATGTAAGAATCTGAATTCCCCTCTGAATTTTCTTGCTTGTAGTGAATTAGCCAACAATTGAAATTTTTATATTTTTAGGTTCTGACTGACCCAACAGTGTGTTCTAAAGTTACATAGCTTTGGAAGTGGTTTGTAATTGCTATGTTGTAGCTAAACTTTATTTAGTCTTTTTGTTGTTGTTGTTACATACTTAAGGCAACTAAATATTAGCTGGGTACTCTACAGAAACAACAATTTTTTTCTCCCCAAGAGGTTGGCACATTAGTGGGTAAGAAAGAACAACAAGAATATTTAGCAGTATTTTGTGACACTTTGGGAGTACAATAATAAAGACTGAAATAAAGAGTTTTCTGATCATTGATGCTGAAGGTGATTGGTTCCCAATCTGATACATAAAGCAAAACTGAAGTGATTTGTACTCCTTTTTTATTTTCATAGAGAAGTAGGATAATAATGTGGTGATTAACAAGGATGTTTTGGCTGGGTGCTTGGGTGGTTCACCCAAGAGCGGTTGAGCGTCTCACTCTTGGGTTCAACCCAGGTCATGACCTCATGGGTCATGAGATCCAGCCCTGATTTGGGCTCCATGTTCAGCAAGGAGTTTGCTTGAAGATTCTCTCCCTTTGCCCTCCTCAACCCCGCTTGCTGGTACATGCTTGCTTTCAAATAAATCTTTAAAAAAAAAAATGCTTTGGATAGTTTACTGTCTTACAAGTTTCCAGAAGTCTCCAAAGTGATACATTTAGAGAATGTTTTGATGAAAAAACCAGTTAAGGTGATAGTATAATAATAGGGAAAATTTGATCATGGGGAAGATTTTCATAATTTTAATTAAGTGTCAGATGTATTAACTTTTACTATTTTTAATTCATTCAAATAGCTGTGAAAATATTTGCAGAAGTTAATCTGTGTAAAAATGGTGGGTTCCCCCCCGATTTTTATCTTTTATAAGACTCACATAAATAGATCTTATCCGTTGTTAAATTCTTTCTTAAACAGTTCATTCTAAAAAAATCCATATTTTCTTCATTTTATAGATGATAGTATTTCTGCTGCAAGTACATCTGACGTTCAGGATCGCCTCTCAGCTCTTGAGTTACGAGTTCAGCAACAAGAAGATGAAATCACTGTGCTAAAGGCAGCTTTGGCTGACGTATTGAGGCGTCTTGCAGTCTCTGAAGATCATGTAGCCTCAGTGAAAAAATCAGTTCCAAGTAAAGGTAATTGTTAAAGTAGGAAGAATCTTGCTTTTTGCAACACCTTCTTTGCAGTAATATATAAAACTTGTGTATTTTATCAGTGACATTGAAATTGGGAGTATAAACTATATTTGTCTTTTGGATTAACTGACTGTAGTTTTTTGTTTCCTTTTTTTTATTCCTAAGAAATTCTGAAAGTTTACTATTTATTATTTTAAATGGGAGTTTTTTGGTAATACCACTGATTGTACTTGAAGGCTTTCATAGTATTTGTGTGAATTTAGTATATTCCAGTCAGATAATGAATTTACTGAGGGCAGGAACTGAATCTTCTTTTTGTATCTCCCATAGTAATTAGCATTGTATCTTGAATATAACATGTACTTTTTGAGTCAGTAAGAAATTATAAAAATCATCATAATTTAAATAGCCTTATTCCAGGCCTTAAGTGGTCATTAGTGAGCAGAATCCTGAAGAACTTAAGCTCTGAGACTCATTACCGATGCCAATATAATATTAATTTTAACTTAAAGATATTGAGGTTTTTCGCAGGTTGAGAGAAAGTCACTAGGATGCTGTTACTCTGAGTTTGGAGCAGATATCCTGTGGCCTTTCCCTTCCTCCAACCACCTAGAAAGAATTTAAAATTCTTTCATGTTACTCAAGCAATTGTTTTTATTATTTCATATTCTTCCTGATTTTTTTTTTTCATAGAGTTGGTGGACATAGGCATGATTATTCTTTATTTTGGCAGTGGGAAAACTAGGGCTATTTATGAAATCTCTTTCTGAATGTGAGTTTGTGGTATACATGGTGTGGAGATAGACACATATAGATAGCGGAATTGCAGGTCTAGTGTTCATGCTAATCTTGGCTAGCAGTAAGAATTTGGGAATATTTAGCTTGTGGATAATAGTTTAAGCCATAGAAAGAGGATATAAAATGGAACAAGGTTCCCGATTGTTGTGTTGGGAGCTCTAGTATTTCAGCAAAGAAAGAGTGATCCATGTTGCCAGATGCTACAGAGAGGTTGAATAAAACAAAGACTGAGAGTTGACCATTGGATTTGGCAGTTGCAAGATTACTAGAAACATCCACAGGCAATTGCAGTGGAGTGATAGTATTGCAAATCAAATTACAGTATTTTGAGAAGCAGCAGTTGAGAATTGTGGTACTGGGAGTAGCAACTGTAGCCACACTTTCAAAAATTTGCCTGGGAGGGGAAGATGATAGTAGCTAGAGGAAGTTGCTAAATTGGAAGTCAGCTTTAATTTTTTTTTTTTTTAAGATGTTATAAACTTGAACACAAAGATATGCTGAGGACAGAAAGGCAGAAAAGATTTTAGTGGGGGTGTCACAAGGGGGTAGTAATTGATGAGGCTAGTTTCCTGAGAGTTTGAGTAAGTATCCTAGAGCAGGTAAGAAACTACTGGCCTTGGAAGACTACCTCTGCTATAGACTGGAAAGAGATAAAACTGAATGGGGCTACTAAATATTCAGTTGTTAGGGCTGGAACTTTTCATTCCGTATCAGTCTTCCTCAGGAGAAAATGATGCTCTTCAAGGAGGTAAAATTGTTCCTGGGTGGTCAAAAGGATGAGTTGGAATGATGAGAGAATGAAAGACCATAGACCTTAAGAAAAAGATGCTGAGTCACCTTGAACGCACTGAGGTGGTTCATTCTGCCTGGCTTTGTGGTTCCCTTTTCTTTAACTTATTTTTAATTTTTACTGTTGAAGTATATCGTTGACATATAATGTTATTAGTTTCAGCTGTACATTATCAACAGTATCATGATTCAACAATTCTGGTTGGGTTTTTTTTTTTTTTTAATTAAAGATTTTATTTCTTTATTTGAGAGAACGAGAGAGCATAAGCAGGGGGAGCGGCAGGCAGAGGGAGAGGCAGGCTCCCTGCTCAGCAGGAAGCCCAATGTGGGACTCCATCCCAGGACCCTGGGATCATGACCTTAGCCTGAAGACAGATGCTTAACCAAGTAAGCCACCCAGGCATCCCTCAACAATTTTGTTTCTACTCAGTGCCACCGTGATAAGTGTTGTCATTGTCACCATACATTATAACATTAGTGACTATATTCCCTGTGCTGTACTTTCAGTAAATGAATGGATAAAGAGGATGTGGTATACATACACAGCATGATTCCCATTCTTAGATCTCCCACCCTCAAAGACACTAGGCCTAGGTAGTTAATAGTGAAGAGTTAGTGAAAGGGGATAGACTTATACAATCTGAAGAGAAACCAGGGGCACCTCTGTGGCTCAGTCGTTGAGTGTCTGCCTTTGGCTCAGGTAGTGATCTCAGGGTCCTGGGATCAAACTGCATCACACTGCCTGCTCGGTGGGAAACCTACTTCTCCCTCTCCCACTCCCCCTGCTTGTGTTCTCTCTCTTGCTGTGTCTTTGTCAAATAAATGAATAAAATCTTAAAAAAAAAATAGTGGAGAGTTAGAGAGGTGGCTGGATTGATCTTCTCCACTAGTGGTTTTTTTTTTTTTTTTAATTTTTTTTTTTTTTTTTAAGATTTTATTTATTTATTTGTCAGAGAGAGAGAGCGCTAGAGCGAGAGCGAGCACAGGCAGACAGAGTGGCAGGCAGAGTCAGAGGGAGAAGCAGGCTCCCCACTGAGCAAGGAGCCTGATGTGGGACTCGATCCCAGGACGCTGGGATCATGACCTGAGCCGAAGGCAGCTGCTTAACCAACTGAGCCACCCAGGCGTCCCTCCACTAGTGGTTTTTAAGATAAATGTGTCAGTGACAGGGATGATAAGTTTGGTAAAAGACTTAATAGAAACCACTTGGGCTAATAATATTACATTTCAGTCTTTAAATTTTTTTGAGAACCAGCTTTGAGGACTGCCAAGATCAAGCCAGGCAAAACTTTATTTGGTTATAAATTGATTTTAATAAAGGATTCTGGAGTTGTTAGAGTAGAATGGTGAGCCAGATCAGTTAATGTATGTGGGCTTTACAGGGAGGGTAAACTTGGAGTAGGGAAAGAACATGCTTACAATCTATAACTGCTGTTACGTACCCTCAGCTTCTGATTTTGTATAAGCATTTTAATTCTGAAAGAGAGAATGATGTGGTGTTTGGTTATTATCCACAATATTTTTGAAAGCTTATTTTAATAGTTCATATTAGTTAAAAAATTTAAGAATTTATTATGCTTAACAGCATGTTGTAATTTTATGTTGAGAAAAATTTAAACATTTTTGTCTGATTTTTTTTTTAAATTTACCAAGGTATTTCCATAAAAAAATATTTATAGAGAAATTTAAAGACTGCTTTTAAAATAACTTGGTTGGCTGGGGCTCCCGGGTGGCTCAGTCAGTTAAGCATCTGTCTTCAGGCACAGGTCATGATCCCAGGGTCCTGATACCGAGCCCCACATCAGGCTCCCTGCTCAGCAGGGAGCCTGCTTCTCCCTGTCCCTCTGCCTGTCGCTCCCCCCTGCTTGTGCTGTCCCTGCCAAATAAATAAATCAAATCTTAAATAAATAAATAAATAATTTGGAAGGCAGTGGTAATTTGTATATACACCCATTACTTATCACTTAACCTATTTCAGTGTCCTAAAATACAAAGACAGCTAAATATCTCTAGTTCCTATTCTCCAGGAACATACTTTTTGTATGTTACTCTTTCTGGTGTTTTTGTTTTGTTTTTTGTTTTTCCAGTTGTCCTTAGACTTAGTTCTTTGTCTCTGAAGTGAATTTGGGATCAGTTTTATTTAAGGCTCTTTAGTCGAGATTTACCCAGTTCTGGAGTTACAGAACCACCTGTAGCTGCTACATTGGAACTCTTTTCCACCACATACTACCAACTCTTAATTCTTTTAAATTATTAATTAGATACAGAGCTTCTTTCCATTGATTCTACTTCATAAGTTTATTATGACAGCTGTTCTTAAAAATGTGCCAATATGTTTATATTCTGAAATGGGGTCCATTAGCGATTATTCTTTAAGTTACTTCATTACTTTAGGCACAGACTTTGAAACGCTATCCATATAATAGATTAATGGGAAAGTTGATTATATAATAATTTGGGGAAATATTATTTTAGAGATGAGCATAATTCATTGTGAAGAATTAATTGCTCTAGTTCCCTTTAGTGGAGAAATTTGCCTGACCAGTTATATTTTCTGAGATTGATATTTAGATATCAAGAGAAATACATTTATTTAATATATTATTTATTTAAATTTATATATAATATATATTAAATTTATATAAATTTATTATATATAATATATATCATATTATATATTATATCATATTAAATTTATATTTATTATATAAATTTATTTAATATATAAATTTATATAAATTTTAAATATATTCATTTAAATATAAATATATTTAATATATATATTAAATATATATAAATATAAATATATTTAAATTTTTCTAATTTATTATTAGAAATTCTAAACAACTTTATTTTGGAGTTTAAATATAGTACACAGTAGAAATAATTGGAAAAATTATTAGGTGATTCTTCATTATTGACATTTGTATATAACCTAATAGATCAACTGTCAGGTTTTTTTGTTTGTTTTTATTTTTTATTTTTTCATTTTAGAGAGCAGAGTGAGGAGCATAGGGAAAGGAAGAAGCTCAGACTCTGTGCTGAGCATAGAGGCTGACATGGGGTTCGAAACCACAACCCCGAGATCATAGCCTGATCAAGAGTCAGAGGGTTAACCAAGTGACCCACCAAGGTGCCCTGTCAGTTTTGATATTAAACAGGATTAATATATTAATGATACAAACATTTGGAATAAACGTTTTAAGCAAAGTATTTTCCAGTGAAATTTTTTTAATAAAATACTTTTTTTAAAAAATGAAATTATTTTGTGGGTATTTTGTATTTTTTTTCTTTATTGAAAAGGTAAAAGGTAATTTCCAATACTGTGGAAAATTTTATGTGAGATTTTTTAGTCCTCTGTGAAATTAGAATTTATCATACTCACTTTCATGTAAAATACTGACAGGACAATA